TCTCCTCTCCTCTCCTCTCCTCTCCTCTCCTCTCCTCTCCTCTACTCCTGCTCCGTGAGGAACAGGAAATAAGCTGCAGAGTGTGTGTGCTCTCATGAGCAGCAGCTGAACATAAACCCTTCCAGTCCTGCTTCGTCTCTCCCTCAGAGTTGGATGAGCATCTGATTTTGGGTAGCCCCCCTTCCCGTCCCCCCTTCATCATTCCAAAAAAAGTACAGAGTCAGAGCTCTCTCTGGTGGTGCCAGCCTTGAACTTCAGCAGCTGAAACTTTCTGTCTGGCAGTCATGCAGACTTATGCTGAGCCCAGCAGGGCCTCCACAGAGGGGGCGGGGCCTTTCCTTAAAACTAACGAAAGGTTTACCTCCCTTCGTCTCGCAAGCCAGAACCAAACACGATCCACATGAAGCATTTCAGCCTGACAGGTTTTTATCAATAATGTTGATCCTCTGTTTCTCCCTTAAATAACTGTTACACCATGATTTATGGGATAGAGATTAAAATACAGCATTTTCAGCACACACACAAAAAAACTTTTGCTCCTTGTAAACATCCCTGGGGTTGATTATTTTTCTGTGTTCATCGTTGGATTTTAGTTAAACTATTTTATCATTTCTGGTGCTGGCTACTCTATAAATGTTGAATCAGATCAACCAGACACCAACAGAGAGAGGACGGTGTGTGGCTCACACAGAACCCATCCAGAACCTACCTACAAGAAATTAATAAAAAAATTTGATTTTGGCCTAAATGTAACAGAAGGAAATTTCTCAGAAACACAGAGGGAAAACAATCAGGATTATTAAACAGATTTTTTCTCCTTGTTTTATTTTCTTCATGTCTCTGTTCAGTGTATTCTCATTATCAGTTCGTATGAAATCGTACGAAAAGTTATGCACAGTAATTTCATACGTTTTTGACGTTTTTTTCATCGTCGGATTTTTACGTCTTGCCTCGAAACAAGATATCCTTGCACATGCGCATCTTACCCACCATTCAATAACATAGAATTGAACATACATTATACTAGGGTGACCAAATGTCCGTATTTCCCAGGACATGTTCGTATTTCACGTCCTGTCCTGGGCGTCCCGGGTTTTTTTTAGAAAGTGAGGGAATGTCCTGTTTTTTTAAATTACCTTCATTGGACCATTAAATTTACAGACACTAGGGCACTGCGCACGACGCTGCGTGTGACGTCACCCCTGAGCTGCGCCAGTGCGGGCAGCCCTGTTCTTAATCAGAATATAGATAGCGTGGCCCTCAGTACGCCAACAACATGCAAAGGCACAAATGTATGTTTACCAACGATTTACAAAAGAGTTTCCCCGCTTTCAGATCGAGACAAATGGGAAGCCTTGTGCACAGTGTGCAAAGCATGCACATATGTCTCGGTGTCCAATGGAGGTGCAAGGGATCTGAAAAGCCA